TGATTCCAATGTAATAAATTATAACCATGGAATATTAGTGTTTGAGCCTTTTATATATATATATATATATATATATATATATATAACACACATGCCTTACAGTCATATCATGTTGAAACACCAATTCTCATAAAAATCACCAGAGTTATGCAATGTAGATCATTGTAAATACCTAGATGGGTGAACATTTTGGAATACCACGTGCAGTAAGTATTTATGTGTGAGTTTTTATAAAGGATAATTGTTCAGAATTACAAATCAGATTAGCCAAGTTCAAGTTATACTTAGGTGCGTTATATTAACTCATGCGCAAAATATATAGCATTCTATTTTTTTTGAATAGACTCCCTTACAGGAGGCTTCAACTATAATTTTAACCTCTTGAAGTGTAGGGTCAATGATTATCCATCCTACAAATCCTTGTAATCTGCACTTACCTCCTCCTCCTCCTCCTCTGTCCATACAACAACCTCATTCAGTAACCCTCTACCGTGAGTGACTCTTGAGCCTTGTATTGGTTGAACATTTATTAAAAAAAAAAAAAAAAAAAAAAAATGTTTTTAATCATGAGGCGATAATGACACTAGGGCGCAAGGGTTTACCGGGAGTGGAAAAGAATTGGAAAACTTTACCGAGGAGAATGGACAGGATTCAAAAAAAGGGTAGATGGTGATTGACGTTGTATTTAAATTTTTGGAGATAGCAGGTGGCAGGGAAGCAAGAAACCAGAAGAGAGTTCCACAGGTGAGAAGTGCTAGGAAAGAAACCAATAAAATAGTACAGTGTAACCCGGATATAAGAGAAACCCGGATATAAGAGAGATTTTCTCTGGTCCCAAATTAGAGCCTGTGATAATGTATATAAAATAGACCAAACCCGGATATAAGAGACTTAGTCTCCGGTCCCGACAACTCTCTTATATCCGGGTTACACTGTACTAACAATTACAAACATCTAGCTGTTTTAGCAGTAAAACAATAAGACCTATCAGCTAATATTTATTGTAAACTTAAATGACAATAATAATTAGACACATATGCTTATCTTAAAATAATTTTTTTTTTTAAATTTTATATTCACATTTTTGTCAGTAACAGAGTTATCTTTTGAATGGAATACTAATCTTTGAAATAAGTAAAAAAAATCATACAAAAAAATGAACCACAACAAATCCAGTGACTGGAAAGAGCAGTTTGCTTCTGTTGTCGTTTAAAAATAGCTGCAGCAACGATTGGGTATTTTTTGTGTAAACTCCTTGGACAGGATCGGATTAAAAAGTAAACTGTCATATGAGGATTTTAAGGCTAAAAATGGGAAACATGTGCAAACATGTTCCACATTCGACGTGGAGTCGATGCAGCAGTTAAAACAGTACTGTTGTTTTTTACTAGATTAGTGTGATAAAGGAATCTAAAAAGTAACAATGAGACATGTTGTTTTCATTGCCAATAATAATAATGATAAGGAACTACTTAAATAGATTGGTCCACGTGTAAAAAAATAGGGAAGAAATATTTGGAAATATTTTTTGTAGATTAGCAATCTTTAGAACTTGCTTAAGCCGCGACATTTGTTAGAATCGACAAATATTATTAATTTGGAAGGGTGGTCCTGTTCATAATATTGATACAGTGTAAAATCGATCCCTGACTTTTACAGAGTAATCGGAAATAAATTTATGCTTGTTTACAAATGACAAGTTTCATGTCATATCTATGTACGAAAACAGAATTTTATTCTACAAAAAGATTTAAATAAAGAAATAAATACATTTTATTATTTTAATAAACTTTTTAAGAAAATATTTTAAACAAGCAGCAGTTGTTCAGCGAAATAGATTTTAATTTTATCGTTTTAAATTATTCACCGGAAAATGTTTATCTACTTTACGAGTAGATCAGCCTAGAAGTAATGCCGATAAAATCAAACTCTAAAGTTTAAGTAGAATAATTATCCGTTAACTTAAAACCTATCCACGAAAAGAAAACGTTGAATCGTAAGATCTTGTTTCTTTTCTTTACAGGTAAATAAGTAAGTTTGAAATCATTGCCCTTTGGTCAATGATTAACTTTTAAAATGGACAGATCAATAAATCAGTAATATTTCTGAATTGAACAAGAATCGATCATATTTTTACACGAGCAATCAAATTTCTGAAAACTTCACACTGATAATTGAGAGTTGTTTTAAAATGAACATCCAAAAAGTGTTTAATTATAGTTTCTAATACAAAGTTTATTTCATTTTAGTTTTGGTGGAAAAAAAATCACAAACAGGAAAAAACGGGACGACCGAATAATCAAACAAAAAAAAAAAAAAAACTAGTTTCATCGTCGAAATAAATTTGATTCAAGTCAAATGTATGATCGAGTCTATATTTTCAAATAAAAAAAACCTGAGATTTAAGACTAACAGTGTACAACCTTTTCCATTTTCAACAACAAAAGAGAGTCAAACTCAAAAATAATTAAAAATACACAGCAATCATGACACAACTTACCTTACCTTTCCTTTCCTTTCTCGTTCCAAAACAATCCTTAGAGATTATGACGCTTTCTTCGGACTTATTTAATTTTAGAAGACAGAAGAGCTTCCTCCGGTGTAGGCCCAGATATTTATCATTGAAATAATATTCCTATTTGAAGTAAACTAGTGTAATTTTTGCAAATGTAACTCAGTTGTCAGTTAATGTTTGAAAATAACAATTTAAGATTTCACTCGAAGTACTTAAATTGATCGCACAATTCTGTACAACGTGAAAACCTCAGTAAAGTTTCCTACTATGCGCCGATGATGGGAACATTTTCACAAAGTTTCAGGCTTGCAACCAATTATTGTCCTTTTTTTAAATACTTTTTTTATGCAGATAAATTATTTCCGGTGTTATAATTAATTAACATATTTATTCTAAAATATTTAAAAATATAATCAGTAAAAAAAATACTACTGACTTAAAAATTCAGAAGACAATTTAAGAAATTGTTGCTGTTCTGGGATCATTTCAAATAAGCCCAAGCCTCAGGCGGGGCCTCACCCACCCCCAAGTAGTAGCTCTCCTCCGGGAGGGGGCTGGGCCCAGCGCCTGAGGCATCCCCAAAAAGGGAAAGTGCCCAAGGGGCTTGGGTAGTTTTTCTACAGTGTTGCCGTTTTAAGCCCACTTTAAATCTCGACCTATGAGTTCCAAAATCATAAATTTTTTTAGTTAGAGTGTTTCATATTTTACTTTAGTAAAAACGCATTAAAAATATATCGTTTTTTAATAGACGGCGGGGGGCGTAGTATACTTAATGAAGGTGCGCCCCGCTAAATTGTATTATTAGCCCAGGGTTATCTCAAGGCCTAAATCCGATGTTGAGTCGATTTCTAACTTAACCTGTTAAGCGCCGATAACACTTCTCAAGTCCACTAAATGATTATATACTTCTTTCTAATGGGTTTCTTTTCAACTACCCCACTTTTTGGGGGTGGGGGTAATGCGTTGAAGAAAGTTAACATCTTGGTTATTTAATTATTTTATCTTCTACAGTGTGCCCAGTAAAAAAAAAGCGGTAAATTCAGAAATAAATTTATTTGTAGCTATGATGAATGTCCAACACAAAGTTGTAAGCTTGGTAATCAGGAGGCAGTAGCTTTGCAGATAGAGTCATGAGGAATGTTATTCCAAGCTTCAGTTTTAAGTTCCACTTCAATGAATCAATATAGACGATGTTACGACGCTGTTTTTGCAAGTGAGTTAGGAGTATACACAAGATACAGTAATCCATAACATTTAGATATGGGCTTTTAGAGGGCCACTGAGATGACCCAATTAGAGCTGGTGTATTTTCTCGGAGAATAAATTTGCCGCTTTTTTTTTTTTTTTTTACTGGGCACCCAGTAGTTATATGCTATCCATTTCATTCTCTTACTGTCTGCCACCCAAAACTAGTGAGCCCAATCTATCCAGCTATTTAAACCATAGCTGATGAGAGAGAAGATACGCATTAATAATTTTCCCATCGGCATTTATATCAAAGTGAACATTATTTCTTATGCTGAAACTCAGCCCGCCGATTCCCCTTTCCGCGCCAATGTCAATTACCGCATATACTCGAGTATAGGGCGAGTTTTTATTACTGATTTTACGTAAAAAATAGGGGCTCGCACTATGCACAGTTAACTTTGGCAAACTTGGTCCGTCGTTCACGAAAAAAAAGAAAACGGTGGGTTAAAAAAAAGAAAACGGTGGGTTAAAAAAAAGAACGGTTTTTTTCATTGACACCGCTATTACTTTAACTGCCTTTACTACTCGGAAATGTTTATTCTTTTAAATCAGGAGTGTTCAAACTTTTTTTTTCCAAAGAGGGCCAGATTTGATGAGGTGAGTATATACGTAAGGGCCAACCATTCTGTTTGACATTCTTTGAACCATTAAATGAAAATGAATTGTCTTATCAACATTTTATTGCAAATAGCATATTTTCATTTCTTCACATGGATCACAAATTTAAACAGGTCTTACGAAAATCACTCAACCCATCACTCAGCCTATATAAGATGAAGTAAAATATGTATGAGAAAAAAGAATTCCAGGAATCTATAATCTATCTCAGGTTAATCTTAAACATTACATACATATTATTGGTAATTAATGCTGTCTGTCTACTTTAAGTTAAAAGCGTATGAATAGGAACATAACACCAACATTCATCAAGTAAAAGAAAACAAAATGATACACGTTTTAACTGTCCAAATATATCTGATTTTGAGTTTTGACCAACATAAAACAAATTTAATTTACTAAGGTTTTAGAATTTATTCATCTGAGATGACCAAAACAAATAACTTACCTGCACTAATGTGAAGAGTGATACTGAGATCTGAACTGCAGTATGTAGGCCAGGTCGGGTTCAAAGGTAGTGATTTTAGAAATTGGCTAGAAAAGGCCAAGGTCAGTGTCACACCGCCAGAGGGTGGACACGCAGTGCTGCTGCTATCTTTTGGTAAAACATGAAATTTCATTTCTTAGGTGTGTACTTTACATTCTCTGACTGACAGTACTGCTTTGTTGTAAGTGATACATACATTCTATGACAGACGATGGGGACCATATGAAATTTGATCGCGGGTCGTAATTAGCCCCTGGGCTGGACTTTAGACATGGCTGTTTTAAATAGAGATCATTAGAATTGTAATAAAACCTAATCATATTATGAAAGTGAACTTATACATTTTTTTTTTCTTCTTGAGAATTTATAACAAAAATATTAAACATTATTTATTTATTAGATTGCTTAATTACAAAAATAATTTTGTATAGCTACAATATTCTAAAAACTAATACAATTTAAAACTAATGCCATGCAATATTTATCATTTACCAATTTATAAAGAAATAAATATGAAAACAATATCTTCATAAATTTATAAATATGTAATAAATTATTAAAATATATGAACGAACTATATGGAAATCCTTATTTACCATTTTATAAATTTTGAATCAATTAACAATTACCCAACGAATTGCCAACCATTCCAATAAGCAATATAATAAAGGTATAGTGTAAATAAACAATTAATTAATAAATAGCGTTTACTATTTTTGTTATAAATTCTCAAGAACAAAGAAAATGTATAAATTCACTTTCATATGTTTAAGTATTATTACAATTGTAATAATTGATTTTCAAAACATACATTGCCGTGGAGTGAAGGTAGTTGAAAAATAGCGATGTCAATGGAAAAACTATCTATTTGATACTTCGTTTTTTGCTCTGTCTTGGGTATAACGATAAACTCCATCCGCGTCCTGGGTAAGATGATAAACTATGTCCAACCGCAAGGCCTCAGGAGATTTTGAGGAGCATGGAACCACTTCTTAATTGCTGGTGTTCCCAGGTACACCCTGACCTGGAGTGGTAGCACCTGTTAGGGTCCCAGTTATGGGCAAAGAGTTAACCTCCCACCAAACTGGGGTCAAAACACTATGAAAGTGTAAAAATAGGTTTTAATGCAAGAAATACTTTGAAAAATATTATTACCAGCAATAGATCTTTGAAAAAATAAAAAAATATATCACCAGCTATAGTTTTTTTTTTTTGTTCTTTTTTTTAAGAAAAAAATATTACCAGAAATACATTTTTGAAAAAAAAATATGACCAAAAATAAAAAATTTGTCGGCGTTAAATAACCCACTGAGGTTGATATGCCATAAAACAAACCAGACCATTTTTTGCTGACACGAAGGTCCGAGTTTGCCGTGATTTTTTAAATATGGTGATTTTCTTAGCGTATCTTAGATTTGGCACAAGACCAAGAAATATAGGGCACCCAGTTAGGATCGAACACACTGCTCAATTGTAATTGTTCTAGCGAAACAAGCTTGCTAACCACTACACCATATCGCAGTGCCCAATCTCGCTTTCACTATGCCCTGTGGAATATCGAAACACAGTACGCTTATCGCAAGTAGAAAGTTATCTCCCTTATTTTAAGAATGCAAAGTTCTGTCCCCTTAATTTAAGGTTCTCTGAATATTTTCTTTTCGTTGTTATTTTTATTTCTGTGAAAATGATATTACTCAAAAATACTGCTCTGCAGTCTCTTTTGTCATAGCTTATTTGTGCTTCTCCACTTTTTATTTATTTTCCGTTTATTTATCACTTTATTAATGAAAAAAAAAATAATCAAACGTTGATTTTCCAGCGACAGACGAATTGTGTGAGTCTGAATTCGCATAGTGAATAATTTATTTATGTGATGTTTTTCTTCTTAGACTAAATGACTATTTTTTTGTACATATTCTCATCTTATGAATTGGGCTTATAGCCACATCATGTTGAAACACTAGTTCCCATACTAGTACTGAAGTTAAGTAACGTTGAGCCTGGTCACTACCGAGATGGGTGACCGCTTAATCGGAGAGCAGAGTTCCAACCAATTCTAGTTGGGTTCGTCATATTTACTTAAGCGCAAATACCCTGGGGAGACGTATCCACCTTTTCCTCGCCCGTCTATGGATTAAATAGTATGGCGTATATCACAAAATTATTATTATCTCCCCAAAATTTTAAGAATATAAAACTATTTTCTTGCTTCTAAGCAACATCGAGCCTGGTCAGTACATAGATTCCACTTGGGAATGCTGTAAGTTTGGATATGCGGGTGGTGTAATGAATAATGTCTAGAAATTGTTAATTGGAAAGCAGAGTTTCAATTCCAGTTGGGTTCGCCATATTCATTTACGCGCAAATACTCTTGGGAAAGGTATGAATCCACCCCCTCTCCGCGTCCAGCTATGGGTTAATTAGTAAGATTTGTATTACTAAATTGTGGAATCTTTCACAACAAACCAGCCTTACCTGTTTTTAGGAAATGCACTCTTCCTATCTGGTAAGTAAAATCCTACTTTCACATAAATATAACAAGTATTCATTGGTCAATCACCTCCAATCTTGCTTGCTGATTGGTCAGTTCCGACCAATCAAACCGCCTGCACGCGACCAATCTGTTTTTCCCGCGTTTTTCGTTTGAGCCTCCCACGTGGTACACGAC